AAAGCAAGACTCCTTAAAATATGTCAAATTTCCTATTAAGTAAACAAGTTGCAATAGTGTGATCGTCACTAGGATTGTTTTATTTTTATTTTATTGCTTGTCTTTGTTTTTATTCGTTTTGTTTTTCATTTATTATTTGCATGAACTACTGTGATTAAAAGGAAGAAAGTATACTTCCCGACATTAGTGTAATCATAGTGACCCCTGCTGGCAGGAGAGAGAGAGAGCATGTAACCAGGGGCGCAGATAGGATTTTTGAGCTGGGGGGACAAAACATTCAGCAAATGATTTCCCTCCAAGTTATTTTTGTGTAATATGGATTTAGAGCTCAAGTAGTTACTCTCATAATAGCCTATGGGTGAATGAAAATACCATTGTAAAATTAGTGGTAATTAAGGATAAACAACAATGAAAGTTATTAAACGAACATCTTTACAATCAACACTAGCAATATAATTTAAAAAAGCAATATATTTTGAAACTGTTATTTGTTTAAAATACCTGTCACTGACCAAAACCTGCCTCTTCACACTTCATCAACAACAAAGTAAATGTTTCTGCTGTGGTGCGAAAAATTAACATAAACATTAAACCAAAAACATCAGAAGCATTGTAACATGTATGAGGGGGGGCATTAGTGGGGGGTTTGGGGGTCCTCCCCCAGAAACATTTGAAATTAGTAGATGCAGTTTTCCTGTATTCTGGTGTATTTTACCAGGTTCCTAAACATACTTTTACAAAACACTTGATTAAATAACTAGAGACAGACTCTAGTTGAATCATCCTGCTTAGTCGTGGTCAGTTTTTGGTGAAATAATGTTCTTTCCACTTCTGAATTATGGTCTCAACAGTGCTCACTGGAACCTTCAGAAGTTTAGACATTCTTCTGTAACCGATGCCATCATTATGCTTTGCAACAATAAGGTTGTGAAGGTCTTGAGAGAGCTCTTTACTTTTAACCATCATCAGATGATTCTTGTGTGTTCTTGTGTGTTTCTCATTTGGGACTGAACCAGCTGATATTAATTTGCACTTACAAGGCACAGACTTGCTTTCTAATTACTGAGAGAGTTCAGCTGGTGTCTTGGCTTTCCCTGCCTTTTTACACCTCCCTTTCTTCATGTGTTCAATACTTTTCCCCTGTGCCATTCCACATTATTACAAATAACTTCATTTCTGGACATTTATGGTTTGATTTCTTTGTATGTATGGATCACTTGGGTTGTTACCTTTGTAGGGGACACCTCGAGTGAAGAAACAGGAGTTACTGCCTCAAAGCAGGTCTCGCACAGGCC